TCCACCTGAGTTTGGTATGTACCTAATTTCTAACATCCAAATGTTGCTTACAAGGCACTATGCTGAGGGCAACTCATTAAGTATTGCTTTCATGTGTGACAATGATGCAACTGTCATTGTTGTTTATTCATAACTTTGCCATGGGCTGTTTTTTATTTGTTCCACCCGCTTCAGTGGCTGAAAATCAGATACAGTCTTAGCACCCTATCTTGCCCTTAAATCAAATGAGCACTCTTTCATCCTGCTAGTACACTACCCATGTGAGTATCTGTGCCTTAGAGACCTCTCTAACGCCCAGAAAACTCTGGATCAAACCAGCTATGCAAGCATTATAATGTCAAAATAAGTTTGTTGATCACCAAATATGGAGTTTCGCTGAGCAACTATCTTAATTTACTCCCGTTACGGCTGGTATGTACTTCCAAAAAAGGTCTAAATCAAATGTATTGAGCTGTTGTAGACTTCCGACCTGTGAGTGGCAGTAATGAGTGATTGGAAGTGCAGAATATGATTTTCTTTGGTTGCTTGTACATTTTATTTAGACCATTTTTGGAAGTACATAAGGGCCGTAATGGGAGTAAATGAAGATAGTTGCTCAGCGAAACTCCATATTTGGCGATCAGCAAACATATTTAGAGATTATATCGCTTTCAGAGCTGGTGAATGGGAGTTTGAATCTGAGCTTTCTGGGCGTTAGAGAGGTCTAGAGATACTGGTTCAGATGTTACTGTCTTCAGCACCTATATTGCCCTTAAAGCAAATTAGCACTCTCATCCTGCTAGGACACAAGCCAAGTGCTGTTGTGTGTTATAACCCACACCGTGAGTAATATGATGGCAACATCCCAGTGTTCGCTCCAGCAGCATACCACAGGCAGGAACTAGTTGGAGGTGTGAATGTAAGTGGCATCTGACTGTACGCAGGTGTTCACCAGCCTGCTTCAGCAGCTGCTCAGCCAGTGAGGAGCAGGACTCTGTAGGGCACAGAGGAAAGGTCACGCTGTGGTTAATAATATGATGGAGGAGAGAGGGGAGGAGGACAGTAGGGGACTAAGTAATGTTTTAATTTAGACCCATCACTAACCGTGTGTGTTTTTTCCACCCATTGATTCTACTTTCACCTATTCTGTATGGTAATGGTGACTCCTGAGTGGCACAGTGGTCTAAGGCACTGCATCGCAGTGCTAACTGTGCCACTAGAGATCCTGGTTCGAATCCAGGCTCTGTCGCGGCCGCGACCGGGAGACTCATGGGTGGCGCACAATTGGCCCAGCGTCGTCCAGGGTAGGGGAGGGAATGGCCGGCAGGGATGTAGCTCAGTTGATAGAGCATGGTGTTTGCAACGCCAGGGTTGTGGGTTTGATTCCCACGGGGGGCCTGTATTAAAAAAAAAAATGTATTCACTAACTGTAAGACCTCTGGATAAGAGCGTCTGCTAAATGACTAAAATGTAAATGTAATGGATGGTGTGCATGTAAAGTACAAGAGAGTTGGTTAGAATACATAAACCTAGACACTGATGGACTTATAGTCTAAGAGCTGCACTAAGATGAACTTCTAATGTCATCATCTCAGTCAAAGCTGCTTATCATAACACAATATAAATCAAACTAGGGCTGTTTCCCTCCACTTTCAGATTACGTCTAAAAGTACCAAATGCCATTGAGCAGCAGAGACAAAGCTGATTAGATCAGTCAGTCAGTGGGTGTTTTCTGTGGGACATTGTGAAAAAGTACATCTAGCTGTGTCCTCTATTATGAACGTTTACTCTTTGAAGGCGAAGGAGAGACAGACAGAAAGTATTCACACCACTTGACTTTTCCCATATTTTATTGTGTTACAAAGTGGGATTAATTGTCATTTTCTTCTCAATGATCTATACAAAATACTCTAATGTCAAAGTGGAAGAAAAATTCTAACATTTTAAAAATATGTATGGAAATTAAAACACTATTATATCTTGATTAGATAAGTATTCACCCCCCTGAGACAATACATGTTACAATCACATTTGGCAGCTATTACAGCTGTTAGTCTTTCTGAGTCTCTAAGAACTTTGCACACCTGGATTGTACAATATTTGGCCATTATTCTTTCAAAAACGATTCAAGCTCTGTCAAGTTGGTTGTTGATCATTGCTAGACAGCCATTTTCAAGTCTTGCCATAGATTTTCAAGCCAATTTAAGTCAAAACTGTGACTAGGCCACTCAGGAACATTCAATGTCATCTTGGTAAGCAACTCAAGTGTATATTTGGCTTTGTGTTTTAGGTAATTGTCCTGCTGAAGGGTGAATTTGTCTCCCAGTGTCTGTTGGAAAGCAGACTGAACCAATAATATGATGGAGGAGAGAGGGAAGGAGGACAGTAGGTGACTAAGTAATGTTTTAATTTAGACCCATCACTACCCATGTGCGTTTTTTCCACCCATTGATTCTACTTTCACCTATTCTGTATGGTAATGGATGGTGTGCATGTAAAGTACAAGAGAGTTGGTTAGAATACATAAACCTAGACACTGATGGACTTATAGTCTAAGAGCTGCACTCAGATGAACTTCTAATGTCATCATCTCAGTCAAAGCTGCTTATCATAACACAATATAAATCAAACTAGGGCTGTTTCCCTCCACTTTTAGTTTTCTGCTGTGTTGTCAGGCATTTGATCAAATCTATATTCCATAGTTGACGTCCATGTACCAAATGCCATTGAGCAGCAGAGACAAGGCTGATTAGATACATTTTACATCAGTCAGACAGTGTGTAAATTTAACATCAGTCAGACAGTTGTTTTTTTATGTTGAAGATCTTAAAAAATACAGTACATGTAGCTATGTCCTCTATTATGAAAGTTTACTCTTTGAAGGCAAAGGAGAGACAGCCAGCTGTGGGTCTTTCTGGGTAAGTCTCTAAGAGCTTTGCACACCTGGATTGTACAATATTAGCCCGTTATTCTTTTTTAAACGTAAACATTTTTTGCAGTATTACTTTAGTGCCTTATTGCAAACAGGATGCATGTTTTGGAATATTTTTTATTCTGTACATGCTTCCTTCCTTTCACTCTGTCATTAAAGTTAGTATTCTGGAGTAACTACAATGTTGTTGATCCATCCTCAGTTATCTCCTATCATAGCCATTGTACTCTTTAACTTGAAGAAAAACTGTGCTTCTACATCTGCATTGATTGCTGTTTGGGGTTTTAGGCTGGGTTTCTGTATAGCACTTTGTGACATCTGCTAATGTAAAAAGGGCTTTATAAATACATTTGATTGATTGAATTTGATTGATTAAAAATCACCATTGGCCTCATGGTGAAATCCCTGAGCGGTTTCCTTCCACTCTGGCAACTGAGTTAGGAAGGGCACCTGTATCTTTGTAGTGACTGGGTGTATTGATACATTAATAACTGCACCATGCTCAAAGGGATATTCAATGTCTGCTTTTTTTTACCAATCTACCAATAGGTGCCCTTCTTTGCGAACCATTGGAAAACCTCCCTGGTCTTTGTGGTTGAATCTGTGCTTGAAATTCACTGTTCGACTGAGGGACCTTATAGATAATTGTATGTGTGGAGTACAGAGATGAGGTAGTCATTCGAAAATCATCTTATCCACTATTATTGCACACAGAGTGAGTCCATGCAACTTATTATGTGACTTGTTAAGCAAACTATTACTCCTGAACTTATTTAGGCTGGCCATAACAAAAGAGTTGAATACTTATTGACTCAAGACATTTCAACTTTTCATTTTGAATTAATTTGTAAACATTTCTAAAAACATAATTCGACTTTGACATTATGAGGTATTGTGTGCAGATGGGTGACACAAAACCTCAATTTAATACATTTTTAATTCAGGCTCTAACGCAACAACAAAATGTGGAAAAAGTCAAGTGGTGTGAATACTTTCTGAAAGCACTGTATATGAAAGGATATAAAGTAATTAAAGTCAGCAATCAAATCCAATTTTATATGGAGGCTTTCTTCCTATTCTATTATTAGGCTACACAGATACATTGAGAAAAAGGGACAGATTTGCTAAGCGTTTGCAGCAGGTGCAAAGTCTGCACCTGCTTTTCTTTCAAAAAGGAAATTAATTCAGGACGAGAGATGGGATTGTATCTCCCATACAATGGGTATGGGTAGGAGCCAGATAGGTAATTTTATGCCGCTAATGATATTGAAACATGCGGCAGAATATAAATTGTGGCTGTCTGAAAATGTTTTTGACTTGTCTTACCTAGGTTTGATTTAGCATGAGATCTGTTGTGGTGGTTGGATGTCATACCAGCTTACACTTTGTCTTACTCAGACCAAAGCATCACTGTGGCTGTATCTCTTTTTTTCAGGGGGTGTCATGCCACATATGCACAGTGACTATTCAACTCATCCACATCCAAGCTGAGGCTGTTCCCACTTTCAGGAGGCTTGGCCAGACATGCCCTGGGACTGGCCTGTCTTTTCACCTGTAATAACCCTCCTACATCCTACCTCCTAACTCCTACTCTGGAAAGGGGTCTGGTCTGGAGCTCAAGCTTTAACAGTGAGAACATATTTCAGTATTCTCTTCCAGTTGGATTGGACCAAACTAAAACCAAACTACTCAGATTGACAATTTTGCAGATTTTATATGCTTCACTGTCCTCTTCCCACTATTCTACATGTTTTATATGACACAGACTTGCACTTGTTCACTTTGAAGTAGATATTGGGAAGATCAGAGAGAGGGACCCCAGAGCTATGCCTATGAACATGATCCTCAGTAACCAGCTGTATTATAACTTGTGGCTTACCATCAAGGACAATCTCAAGATGGATTAGCATTTGTTTGTTAAATAGCATTCCTCTGCATACACAATGTGTGTCTCTCTCAGTGTTTTAAACAAGAACATAGCTTTCTATTTTTGATTAATCGTAATTCCCATTAGATTGAGACATCATCAGTCAAATTATGATTTGACATGACAGGCTTAATGTGATCCTTATTTTAATGGCTCTCAGGAAAGTGCTCTGATGTCCTTGTCTTCTCTCAGAAAACATTACTGTCTGCAGTCTGTTTATCAGACTACTGTTACAGTAAAGGGCAGCACAGTGTATCAATACTGTATAGAGAACAGATGGTTCCTATAGCAGACAACATGAACATGACCCCAGAGCTTCCGACACAGAACTGCTCCAACTGCAGCCAAGCATTTGTCCCAGAGCTCAATGTGATCAAGGCTGTGGCGCTGGGACTGATACTTGGGACCTTCATCATATTTGGGGTTTTTGGGAACATCCTGGTTATCTTGTCTGTGGTCTGTCATCGACACCTACGAACAGTCACACACTACTTCATTGTCAACCTAGCGGTGGCAGACCTCCTGCTGAGCTCCATTGTGCTGCCCTTCTCTGCCACCTTTGAGATCCTAGGGTACTGGGTGTTCGGACGGCCATTCTGCAACGTGTGGGCAGCGATGGACGTGCTGTGCTGCACAGCTTCCATCATGAGCCTGTGTGTGATCTCAGTGGACCGCTACATCGGGGTCAGCTACCCGCTGCGCTACCCAGCCATCGTGACAGAGCGCAGGGCACTGCTGGCCCTGGTTGGCCTGTGGGCTCTGTCTGTCACCATCTCCATCGGCCCTCTGTTTGGCTGGAAGGAGCCGGTGCCTGAGGATGATTCTATCTGTAAGATCACAGAGGAGCCTGCCTATGCCATCTTCTCTGCTGTGGGCTCCTTCTACCTACCACTGGCCATCATACTGTCTATGTACTGCAGGGTGTATGTGGTGGCCCGCCAGGAGAGCCGGGGCCTGAGGGTGGGGCACAAAACAGACAAGTCAGATTCAGAGAGCATCACGCTGAGGATCCATCGCGGCAACACAGCCGTGTCTGAGGACGAGGCCCTGCGCAGCCACACACACTTCGCCCTGCGCCTCCTCAAGTTCTCCCGAGAAAAGAAGGCCGCCAAGACCCTGGGCATTGTGGTTGGCTGCTTTGTGCTCTGCTGGCTGCCTTTCTTCCTGGTGCTGCCCATAGGTGAGTGTTACCCATTGTACCCATTGTACCTTACCTTGTAGACTGTGCTCCACAGCTGCAGTGTCATGCTGTTAATGCCACCCCCTGTTGTATCTACACTTGGCAAAGGAATTTATGAGGGTTTGTAATTAAATGGCATTGCAGAGATGTAGGAGGGAGTGTGGGATGACTCCCAAAATAGATGTTCACAACAGTCTCTGGTACCATATCATGCATGCCTTTCTCATGTCATACGCTATCAACCATAGAAGTAGAAAAAACGTTTATTTACATGTGTAATAAATCAGTTATTTTAGGTTATGTGAGGTTGTTGGATGTGGATGATGTAAAATTTAGTCTATTGTCGCATTAATCAGTAATGGGCTGCATCTGCAAAGATTTACTTTAATTGATGACACAAATTAAAACTTGTTTACAAATAGAAACCATCTGAAATAACTAAAATGTATCATTAAAAAGAGTACACTAATCAAAGTATTTGTTTCAACTGTGCAAAATGTCAATCTTCTCCTCCCCCTGATGTTATTTTACTTGTCACACATGACTGCTTTGAAGTCTAATTTACTACGAGACCCAAATAAATATTAGCATATATATACACTTACCAATAATGTGGTATTTCATGTGGAAATAATGAAATAAAAAAGTAATTTCAGTAGCTTTTATTTCAGACCACACTATAATTGCCATAAGCGTTTACTGATGTTATCACAAGTTTTGAATAGAGTCAGTATTATTTTAAAAGAAAACTGATTGATGAAATAATCGTGTTTATGTAACACTATTGTGTAGAAAATATTGAGAGGATTTTCAGGCAAGCCAAAATACCAGTCTCAAGAAATTATCCTACATTAGAGACTTGAACTACACACACACATGCACAGGCACATGAAAACACACACGCACACATTAGAAAGTGATAGAGATAGAGAGCTACAGAGAGAGATAGAGTACGTTTGGAACATCCATTTACATTTACATTAATTCATTTCCAAGACACCATTGTCGATTTTTGTTATCCAGCCACAGCCGTAAGTGCTTGTGAAATTAATAGTTTGGGGTATTAATTTAATGGTTTTTCTGAAGGCCACTGAGGAGTTACTGTAATTTGGGTGTTTCAGGGATGCAGTGCAGGCAACTAAGGTAAAAGCTGTGGCCGGGTCTGGTACTAGGCTAGCCAGACAATGGGTCATCATAGGATTCTTCAGATAACAGAGATACTCTCAGAATGGGTGGGTAGTCCCTTTCAGTCAGCCTCTGTCCCAGTCATCTTCTCAGTGTGATCAAAGAGCTGCTGTGGTTGAAAGAGAGCGGCTCTCCAGTTGGGCTGGTCTGTGACTCACTGACACCTTTCCCAGTCAGAGGAATAAGGCAACCTCACAGAGAGTTACACATAATAAACTTTATTTGAAGAGTTGAATGCTATATCCACACATTTTTCACATTAGTATTTTTTCATCAGAAATGATTGCTTATGGGTACCTTCATGTGTGTATAAAATATTACTGTTGTCAGATTTTTTTATTCATAGATTTGAGAGAGTATGAAAATGTTTGTTTTTTTGCTAAACGCTATATATCCATTGTTTAGCTGGAATGGAATGTTTGTGTCCTGTGTATTTGACTGTGATATGTAGTTGTCTTACCTTGCTATCTTAAGACGCATGTACTTACTGTAAATCACTCTGGATAAGAGCATCTGCTAAATGACTAAAATGTGAAATGTAAATGTTTTACATAGAGATCTCATATTACTGCATTTAATTATCTTTTTAAAACCTTTTTTTTATATATATTGATGTCACAAATGTATCATTTGTACATTTCTTTATTAAAAATGTAGTTATTTGTTACATTTGACTGTGTAAAACCTAGCAGTACAGTACTACTTATTTATCTGAGAGTGAGGTGGATATATAGCATTTAGGAAATATAAACATGATTATTTGTCTCTCTGAAATGAAACCATGACGTGATAGATCTTAAACAAATACATATCTGTCATTGAACAACCCCATGCCATGATTAGATCGTGAAAAAACACATTAATCTCATTCATAATGTCTTTAAACAATAAAAGCTAATTTACCAACATTTCTGAAAATTGATATATAGCGTTTTGGAATGAAACTATTCATTTCCAGAGGACAAATGCAATGGATGTGGTTGTGTACAAAGAGAAATATGAATGAATATACTATACATAATAAACATAACATGACAATGACTGTTTAACACATAGTAGCATCAACTACTATTAATGACTAGCAATAGTAACAACCAACAGTAAATGCACACAAGTTTCAATAACAACATCACTCACGTCTGTCCACGCACTCCATCACTCTTGTCCACTTGGAGAGAGACTGATGAGGCTCTGACCTGAGCAGGCAGGAGGACTGTCTGCTATCCTGCCCCCTAGCAACCTCCCTGGCAACCTTCCTAGCAACCTATAGGTGGCCTTGTAGCAGAGGTCACTGGGAGTTTGGGGAGCCAGTTTATGATCCCCTAGTCTCTCTGGCAACATTAGGGGATTGGTGGAGTGAGCTGCATGAAGTTATAGAGTGCTGAGCACACGCTGCCGGACCTGTCTGCTGCTCATATTTCACACACACTTTTCAGACAACCATTCTCTCTATCTCTCTCGCTCTCTCTCGATATCCATCTCTCCATCTCTTGCTCTCTCGCTCCATCTCACTCTCTCTCTTTCTCAGCATCTATTTCTCTTGCACAGAGGCATTCTCATCAATGTGATCACAGCAGGAAGGACAGATCAAGTCTGCTTGTTAGTTTAATCATTTCAGTATGGGATGAATGTGGGAAGAAAATACAAATCAAGTGTTTTTTAAGATCAAGTCAACTCCTTCCTAACCCCTCAGGATTCCGATGTATTATATACTCTCATGCTCATAAATATAGCAACTGCAATAGAGAGCTAGCGCTTCTTGGTGGTGATTCTATTCCCTTACCATGTCTGGACAACATGTCACAATGTTATGTATTAAATCACAGAACAGTTTTCCAGTTAAGATTGATTGTGTTAGGCTGGGGATGGTTATTCTTGTTTGCTTTGGTTTATTGGGACAGGCTTTATTTCTTCATTAAGAGGGAAACTAACCCTTGTGGGGATTTGAGTGGGTCAAAAGGGTTAGGAGGGCTATCATTGTCTTGGCAGTGTGTTTATTTTGAGACTGGTTTGTTCCAGTAGCCATTTATAAAGACATGACCAAGAGCTAAGCAACTGTTTGCTCACATGTTCACAAGGGTAGTGGTATTTTGTCTGCTGGTGCTGTGGTCGTTAGTCGGTAGTTGCACTGGTGCCTACCATGCATCTTTGGTATTGTTATCTGCCTGTTGTCTGGACCTCTGGCAGTCTCTATGGGGGTCTCTATGGGGGTGCCACAGGGTTCAATTCTCGGGCCGACTCTATTCTCTGTGTATATCAATGATGTCGCTCTTGCTGCTGGTGACTCTCAGATCCACCTCTACGCAGACGACACCATTTTGTATACACTGTGTTAACAAACCTCCAAACGATCTTCAATGCCATACAACACTTCTTCTGTGGCCTCCAACTGCTCTTAAACGCTAGTAAAACTAAATGCATGCTCTTCAATCGAACGCTGCTTGCACCCGCCCACCCGACTAGAATCACTACTCTCGGCGGGTCTGACTTAGAATATGTGGACAATTACAAATACCTAGGTGTCTGGTTAGACAGTTAAATCTAGAATCGGCTTCCTGTTTCGCAACAATGCCTCCTTCACTCATGCTGCTAAACATGCCGTCGTAAAACTGACTATCCTACCGATCCTTGACTTCAGCGATGTCATTTACAAAATAGCTTCCATTACTCAACTCAGCAAATTGGATGTAGTCTATCACAGTGCCATCCGTTTTGTCACCAAAGCCCCATATACTACCCACCATTGTGACCTGTATGCTCTCGTTGGCTGGCCCTCACTACATATTCATCGCCAAACCCACTGGCTCCAGGTCATCTATAAATCACTTCTAGGCAAATCCCCACCTTATCTTAGCTCATTGGTCACCATAGCAACACCCACCCGTAGTATGCGCTCCAGCAGGTATATCTCACTGGTCATCCCCAAAGCCAACACCTCTTTTGGCCGCCATTCCTTCCAGTTCTCTGCTGCAAATGACTGGAACTAACTACAAAAATCTCTGAAGCTGGAGACACTTATCTCCCTCATTAACTTTAAGCATCAGTTGTCAGAGCAGCTTACTGATCACTGTACCTGTACACAGCCCATCTGTAATTAGCCCACCCAACTACCTCATCCCCATATTGTTATTTACATTGTTATTTATTTTGCTCATTTGCACCCCAGTACAGTGGGGGAAAAAAGTATTTAGTCAGCCACCAATTGTGCAAGTTCTCCCACTTAAAAAGATGAGAGAGGCCTGTCATTTTCATCATAGGTACACGTCAACTATGACAGACAAATTGAGAAAATAAAATCCAGAAAATCACATTGTAGGATTTTTAATGAATTTATTTGCAAATTATGGTGGAAAATAAGTATTTGGTCACCTACAAACAAGCAAGATTTCTGGCTCTCACAGACCTGTAACTTCTTCTTTAAGAGGCTCCTCTGTCCTCCACTCGTTACCTGTATTAATGGCACCTGTTTGAACTTGTTATCAGTATAAAAGACACCTGTCCACAACCTCAAACAGTCACACTCCAAACTCCACTATGGCCAAGACCAAAGAGATGTCAAAGGACACCAGAAACAAAATTGTAGACCTGCACCAGGCTGGGAAGACTGAATCTGCAATAGGTAAGCAGCTTGGTTTGAAGAAATCAACTGTGGGAGCAATTATTAGGAAATGGAAGACATACAAGACCACTGATAATCTCCCTCGATCTGGGGCTCCACGCAAGATCTCACCCCGTGGGGTCAAAATGATCACAAGAACGGTGAGCAAAAATCCCAGAACCACACGGGGGGACCTAGTGAATGACCTGCAGAGAGCTGGGACCAAAGTAACAAAGCCTACCATCAGTAACACACTACGCCGCCAGGGACTCAAATCCTGCAGTGCAAGACGTGTCCCCCTGCTTAAGCCAGTACATGTCCAGGCCCGTCTGAAGTTTGCTAGAGTGCATTTGGATGATCCAGAAGAGGATTGGGAGAATGTCATATGGTCAGATGAAACCAAAATATAACTTTTTGGTAAAAACTCAACTCGTCGTGTTTGGAGGACAAAGAATGCTGAGTTGCATCCAAAGAACACCATACCTACTGTGAAGCATGGGGGTGGAAACATCATGCTTTGGGGCTGTTTTTCTGCAAAGGGACCAGGACGACTGATCCGTGTAAAGGAATGAATGAATGGGGCCATGTATCGTGAGATTTTGAGTGAAAACCTCCTTCCATCAGCAAGGGCATTGAAGATGAAACGTGGCTGGGTCTTTCAGCATGACAATGATCCCAAACACACCGCCCGGGCAATGAAGGAGTGGCTTCGTAAGAAGCATTTCAAGGTCCTGGAGTGGCCTAGCCAGTCTCCAGATCTCAACCCCATAGAAAATCTTTGGAGGGAGTTGAAAGTCCGTGTTGCCCAGCGACAGCCCCAAAACATCACTGCTCTAGAGGAGATCTGCATGGAGGAATGGGCCAAAATACCAGCAACAGTGTGTGAAAACCTTGTGAAGACTTACAGAAAACGTTTGACCTGTGTCATTGCCAACAAAGGGTATATAACAAAGTATTGAGAAACTTTTGTTATTGACCAAATACTTATTTTCCACCATAATTTGCAAATAAATTCATAAAAAATCCTACAATGTGATTTTCTGGATTTCTTTTTCTCATTTTGTCTGTCATAGTTGACGTGTACCTATGATGAAAATTACAGGCCTCTCTCATCTTTTTAAGTGGGAGAACGTGCACAATTGGTGGCTGACTAAATACTTTTTCCCCCCACTGTATCTCTATTTGCACATCATCTTCTGCACATCTATCACTCCAGTGTTAATACTAAATTATAATTATTTTGCACTATGGCCTATTTATTGCCTTACCTCCATAACTTACTACATTTGCACACACTGCATATAGATTTTCTATTTTCTATTGTGTTATTGACTGTACGTTTTTGTTTATTCCATATGTAACTCTGTGTTGTTGTTATTTTTATCGCACTGCTTTGCTTTATCTTGGCCAGTTGTAAATGAGAACTTGTTCTCAACTGGCTTACCTAGTTAAATAAAGGTTAAATAAATAAAATAAAATAAAAAATCTAAAATCATTATTGACATGATGAATTATATTTGGTGGTGTTGGTAGTGAGCTACAGTATTATAGCAGTAGTGTGCATCCTTGTCTTCCAGGATGTATGGCAACGTCTCTCTTGGGAAGTGAGCACATCTATTGATCATCCATTATTTATTGCTCACTCTATCTTGTTTTCAGTCGCTATACATCACTGTATACCCTCTGTTTGGTGCAGTAGAGGGAGAGAATGAGACCAAGTGAGTTGTTTAGCTTTCTTAAAAAAGCATGTTTTTCATCACTGTCTTTATGGAGTTAACTTTTCATAGACAAATGAGGCTACATGAGTAACGGCAATCAAGTTCCCCCTTTAGGGTTTATAGCCTCCAGAATGTATGAATTCAGTTGCAAGAAGAGTAATATAATTGCTGTTGCTTGTTGCACAGTAGTCATCTGAGATGTACTTGGCACGGAATCTTATCTACTCAAAGTTCACCTCCTTTCTTTCCCTCGCTCGCTCTCTTTCTTTCACTCTCCCTCTCTATCCATCTCCACGTCACTCAGTTTTTTTTATTCAAAAGCCCACTCTAAACCTTCTCCAACAGCTTCTCCAATAAAGAATTTCACAAGACAGCTCGCCCATCCTACCTTTGAAGATAGATGCTCAAATTCAAGGCCATCCAAGACTTCAGCCATTTAATTATTTTAATGTGTTGAGCATTGGGTGTGAAAAGTCCTTCATATTTGCACTGAGAACAAGTGCTGCATGTAATGGGCATGTTAAACCATTTAATCTACTGCACAATTAAGTGTGCAGCTCACACTGTTTCACACTTTCTCCCATGAGCCTCTGTAATCAGAAGCAGCAGGAATTATGAAGGCAATTTGAATACAACTAATACCTTGACGTCAATACCTTGATGTTAATCCGATTTCTTCCCTCTGTATGTGTGGCCTGTGTGTGTGTGTGTGTGTGTGTGTGTGTGTGTGTGTGTGTGTGTGTGTGTGTGTGTGTGTGTGTGTGTGTGTGGCCTATTATAGGTTCCATATTCCCAGCATACAGACCTTCGGACACAGTTTTCAAGATCACCTTCTGGCTGGGCTACTTCAACAGCTGCATCAACCCTATCATCTACCCCTGTTCCAACCAGGAGTTTAAGAAGGCCTTCCAGAGTATTCTGGGAGTGCGCTGTCTGAGAGCCCAGCCCAGAGCCACTCATCACCTGGGTCCAGGCCTCAGCCAAGCCCATGTCCAGGGTAATTCTCTCACTCTGAGACTAGATGGCAGAGGTGACCCCTCCCATCTTAGCCCCTCCTCCTCCATAGCCCTGTCCCGCACACCCTCCTCTAGGGATGGCAGAGAGTGGAAGATAGAGACAGGACAGGCTAAGGTGGCCCAACTGTGCAGTAAGAGTCTGCTGAAGACCTGCTGCTGCATCAGAGACGGGAGCCACAGCCAGCAGCCCAGCCATCCCGAGCCCCCTCCACATGGGACCCTGCCCATCATTAAGATCCACCAGCTGTCTTTGTGTGAAAATGGAGAGGCTGTATAACCAGAGATAATGATGGAGTAAATTATTTTGAATGTCTCTGGTATGAATACTGTAGCTCATCTTCTCTTAAACAAAAGCATGATGCACCCTCAAGGTCCAGTGCTATTAATGGAACTAAAGTGAAAAGTGAATAAATTTTTCTAAGCCCAGTGGAGTTTACAACAATGGAACATTAATAATAGCTGGTGGAGATGGTCGATGAAATTCTGAAATATTTTGAATATTCTGACTGCAGATATACAATGCTAGTGGATTTAAATGAATGATCTTTTTACACACTAAACCAAGGTCTTACCTTGAGATGTTGACACTCTTTAAAGGTCCAATGCAGCCATTTGTATCTACATATCAACTCATTTCTGGGGTAACAGTTAAGTACCTTACTGTGATTGATTCAATTAAAATGATCAAAAATAAACATTACATTTACATTTTAGTCATTTAGCAGATGCTCTTATCCAGTAGTGAGAAACAAAAAAAAGCTTCTTAGCAAAGAGCAATTTCTCAAGCAAGAATTTTGCTATGGCTGTCTGGTAGTGGTTTGAATGGGAAGGGGAAAACGGAAAATTAGCTGTTATTGGAACTCTCTTTCTTATTGGTCTATTAACTAATTTACCACCTGGTGATGCCACCAGGCAGGCCAAAACTCCATCCAGCTCTTACACTAAAAGTGCATCATCATAATTTTCACAATTTCACAGTATTATTCCAAACTAATAGTGTGGATATACAGTGGGGAGAACAAGTATTTGATACACTGCCGATTTTGCAGGTTTTCCTACTTACAAAGCATGTAGAGGTCTGTAATTTTTATCATAGGTACACTTCAACTGTGAACGACGGAATCTAAAACCAAAATCCAGAAAATCACATTGTATGATTTTTAAGTAATTCATTTGCATTTTATTGCATGACATAAGTATTTGATCACCTACCAACCAGTAAGAATTCCGGCTCTCACAGACCTGTTCGTTTTTCTTTAAGAAGCCCTCCTGTTCTCCACTCATTACCTGTATTAACTGCACCTGTTTGAACTCGTTACCTGTATAAAAGACACCTGTCCACACACTCAATCAAACAGACTCCAACCTCTCCACAATGGCCAAGACCAGAGAGCTGTGTAAGGACATCAGGGATAAAATTGTAGACCTGCACAAGGCTGGGATGGGCTACAGGACAATAGGCAAGCAGCTTGGTGAGAAGGCAACAACTGTTGGCGCAATTATTAGAAAATGGAAGAAGTTCAAGATGACGGTCAATCACCCTCGGTCTGGGGCTCCATGCAACGTATGATCTCTGTAATTGCAAACAAAGGTTTCTGTACCAAATATTAAGTTCTGCTTTTCTGATGTATCAAATACTTATGTCATGCAATAAAATGCAAATTAATTACTTAAAAATCATACAATGTGATTTTCTGGATTTTTGTTTTAGATTCCATCTCTCACAGTTGAAGTGTACCTATGATAAAAAATTACAGACCTCTACATGCTTTGTAAGTAGGAAAACCTGCAAAATCGGCAGTGTATCAAATACTTGTTCTCCCCACTGTATATATATATATATATATATATATAAAACACAGGAAAATCACGTTTTTGACTGCACTGGGCCTTTAAGACAAGTGCACATTCTCTCAGGTGGTCTTTGCCACTCTTCACACTTTACTATCCAGTTGATTTGAATAGTAAAGAAAAACAGTCCAAATTACTATTCTAATCTTAGGCCAAAACTGATAGTTCCCCAAGAGCAAAATATATCCCCCTCCCCTTTCGCTACACCCACAATAACATCTGCTAAACATGTGTATGTGACAAATACGATTTGATTTGATTTGATATACGTGTTAGAAAAAAGTTTTCCATAAGGAGCTCAGTAATTTTACTGGGATCTACACTTTAGCTATATCAATATATGTATTATTTATTCCAGATATTCCTGATAAGATATTGGGGTTTGTGAAGGTATTTCCAAAGAAGGACCAAAGAATGTGTTCCTTGTGTAATGTTTTCAAGTTGTATACTTATAAAGAATATTTCCAATGCATAATAGGTCAAGTCTGTACATATGAAATTGGTGGTAACCTCACAAATGGTAAAACAAATGTTATCTTTCTCCCATTGTCTTACCATTTACCAAGCTCTTGTCCCGTTGTGAGAATAGTGTGTGACTGTGTGATACTGTGACATCCCTCCCAGTCTCCCTGGGGAGTCAGAGGGCAGGCACAATGCCCATCTCAAATGAATCACACTATACTATTCACAGCAGGCTGGAACCCAAGAGGATAATGTCCTTCCATGTCACGTATTCAACGTCACTTTGAGAATCCTTTTTTGGGGGGGATTTCATGAACACACATGTTTCATAAACAAGCATGGGCAGTATTGCTTTGTACTCCAACATTCCCACGATACCACTTTCCAATCTCCACTGCCAGATAGAAGATTAACTTCCTCCTTTGGAATTCTGAGGGATCATTTTATGGGCTTTGACCTCATAACTGCTCCAAAGCCTCTAAATCCACCATGAGCCAGTGAGAAATTTTCCTTCATACTGTAGCTCAGGCTTTCCAGTTTCAGGGACACATTTGCAGATTGCATCCACACAGTGGAGGCTCCTCAGAGGAGGAAGAGGAGGACCATCCTCCTCAGTGAATTTCCAAAAAATAAAAATAGTGAAACATTAAAAAAGTGATCCTTCTTAGACATAACTATACTAAATATATTCACGTCCCCAAATAATTTTATAAAACACACTGTTTTGCAATGAAGGTCTACTGTAGCATCAACAGCACCCTCTAGGGTAGCACTATGGTGTAGCCGAAGGACAGCTAGTTTCCGTCCTCCTCTGGGTACATTGACTTCAATACAAAGTCCCTCCTGTATCTCAGTTGGTAGAGCATGGCACTTGCAATGCCAGGGTTGTGTGTTCGATTCCCACGGGGGGCCAGTATGAAAAATGTATGCACTCACTAACTGTAAGTTGCTCTGGATAAGAGCGTCTGCTAAATGACTAAACATTTTTTAAAATAAAACCTAGGAGGCTCATGGTTCTCACACCCTTCCATAGACTTACACAGTAATAATGACAACCTCTGGATGATTTCCTCCAACCTATCAGAGTTCTTGCTGCATGAACTGACATGTTGTCCACCCAATCTGTATCAGAGAATTCTACAGGAGAATGTCAGGCACACACACATGGAAATGGCTAAAAGGTTTTGGAATGGCCTAATCACAATTGAGATGTTGTGACAGGACTTGAAACGAGCAGTTCATGCTTGAAAACCCACAAATGTCGCTGAGTTAAAGTAGTTCTGCATGGAAGAGTGGGCCAAAATTCCTCCACAGCGACGTGAGAGACTGATCAACAACTACAGGAAGTGTTTGGTTGGAGTCATTGCAGCTAAAGGTGGAAAAACCAGTTGTTGAGTGTAAGGGGGCAATTACTTTTTCACACAGCGGCATTGGGTGTTGCATAACTTCGTTTATGAAATAAATTAAATAAGTATGCAATTGTTGTGTTATTTGTTCACTCAGGTTCCCTTTATCTAATATTAGGTTTTGGTTGAAGATCTGATAACATTCAGTATAAAAAATATGCAAAAGTAGAGAAAATTAGAAAGGGGGCAAATCGTTTTTCACAGCACTGTATATTTCGTTGTATTTTTTTTTCACTTTCACTTAGCTAGTGAATGCAGCTAGCTAGTTTAGCCTACTCAAACGCCTGGCTCAAACAGAGAGGGATGCTATGTTAGTTAGCTGGCTAAGACTATCCAACACTGGAACTCTTCCAAGTCAAGGCAAGCTTTTGGTTTTATTAATGTATTGCCACCGTAACTGCTAAACTGCTTGCATGATTGTAGCGGGTTTACTAACGCTTTAGTTCTAGTAGCTATGTTGACTAGCTATGACGTTATGGTGACAACGATGTAGGCTGTGTGTAGCGGTTAGCGGTTATGATATGAAGGTTTGGCTTGGAAAGGTTTTTCCGCCTGGTCACAGACAGCTGATGTGATGTGCACTGAAGTCCACAAGCGAAGGGAAAAGGTGAGAGGAGGAGAGCGCGTAGATGCGTGAAGGAATTCTACAATGAGCAAAAATATCATACTGTTTGTATGTGGCTGCTATGAAATAAAGTGAACTGTGTTTGCGTGTGATCAGGGGTGTATTCACTCCACCGATTCTGTTGCAAAACGTTTCTTAAACGGAAGCAAACAGAATAACCCTACCTGGATTTGTCCAATAGAAACCCTTGTTTGCAACTTTTGGACAAATTATTACACCCTAGATTAGCTAGATGCAGGCAAGAGTGTGCAAGGCGGTATTGAATGTGTCACTGTCTGTCACATTGATTACTCAAATTTTTCTCTCGACCTGTGCACCTACATTGTACACTTTTATTAATAGGCTAGGTTGTAGCAACCTCATGATAGGAAAAATTAGAGTATCATGTAGTAGCCTAAACCTATCAATGTTACATTGAGCTGGGTGAATGGAATATGAATGACAGTCATCCAATATGCTGTAATAGAAATAAGGCCATGCTCATAAATACAAAAATATCCTCCCTCATCTTAAACGGCACCGACCGCCACTTACACAAGCACACAAATAAAAGTGATTGCATGGATACCCACATGAAAAAATATTACAGTTTACTATAGAATAGTACAGTAATTACTATAGAATTCTGTAGTATACAGTACTGTAGAATACTATACTACACACCTGGGGGCGCAACATTCACTGGGGGCGGGGGGGACATGTCCCTCCCACATTCTGAAATTGCATTTTTGTCCCCCCCAGTTTTATAATTGGAATGTGATACAAAACGAGGCAGTAGTGTGCTTTAGGACCATGCGGACGCCTCCGAGCAGTCGGGTAGGCTGTTTGGAGTGTTTATCCGACTGGATAAAACATAAAATAATAATAATAATATGTCCCCCCAACTTCTAAAACCAAAGTTCGCCCCTGCTACACACTGTAGTATCCCGATCA